AGACAGCCCGTGACATATGAAGCCCGACGACTTGCACCTGACCGTCTGAAACCGGCTTACTTGGGAGGTAATCATATTAGCATAGAGTAATCTAAGATCGTTAAGTCTTCGAAGAAGTCATTAGCTCTTCGACAGCTACGGAATCTTCTGCCGAGCCCCCTAAGAAAACCCGTTCTGGACGTACCGTAAGGTTCCCAGAGTACCTTCACACCTATATAACATAACTAAGTGGTGCTGTTCACCCACCTCATTTGTTGGGGTATTAATTATTTTTGTTTCTTTTCAGACATCAATTTTTTTTGATGTAGCATCACTAAACACCAGTAAAACAATTTTTTATAACCGTACAGTTTCCATGCACAAAAAATTTAGATGTATACTTTTCGATGTTCTAAACTTTGCATCGTTTTACTGTATGCAAGATGCACATAATTTTTAAAAAAACGCCGATTTGGTAAATTTTCCCCAACAAGGTTCTTAGCGTTGTTGTTTTTCTTCCCATGTGCGACGGGCACTGGACAAGAAACACATGAAGCTCGGGATCCAACGACTAACATCAAGGAAGCGACGTACAAACACCCTATTAGCAAAGGCAAAGAGACTAGTAGGCTAGCCACCAAGCCGCTTGGAAGGGAACCACCGAGTTTTTTTACATCTGAGTGGTTCTGTCTTAGGGTCCTCACAACCCCCTTAAGGGGGGAGTGATCTGTACTGGTAAATAATTCCCCAAAGTTATTGACCAAAATAATAGATCATGTCTAAGAGTGTAACAACAGAAAGCAAGAGTCAGGCAACAGATCCTTTGTTAAGGAAATCAACACGTATTTATATATTTTTCTTGTACGTTATAATAGCTTATTCAAGCAAACAACACATTCTTCTGGTTGATTCTTTCTCACAGAAGGTTGATTTCCCATTTCTTTGTGGCTGTTTCTTGAATGTCAGGTCATCCATCAATATGTCAATGTATCGACCACAAAGTCTCCTGTGATTGGTTGTTGAATCAGTCTTGTTCATATTTTCTCACGACCAATATTAACGACATAAACATTTATGTAAATTGATGTCTACCAATTGCCTAGCAGCCTGCTCTCACCACGCTCGTACCCCTGTCAAATAGTTTGGACCGAAGTCGGCTTGATCTTGTTGGTGCTGGTGTCATAGTTGGCTTGTCACTCTGTATCCATTTCCGGAGCTCGGTGACGTTCACCCGCTTCTCTCTGTTTGCATTTTTGATAGTGTATACGTGACCCCGTCTCGCGGTGACCGTGTACGGTCTTTCCCCTTTTGGTAGCAGTTTTCTCGACGCTGGCACGTATCCGCTGGTGTTTCGCCTATCTCTACATTTGACGTGATCTCCGATCTCGAATGCGAGGTCCTTCCCCTTTGCCCTCTGTTCGGCTTGCACAGCGTCCACTTTATCATTTCGTTTTACTTTGTTGATGGCTTCTTTCCGCTCCGTCCGCCATCCCGCCATACTCCAATGCTGATGCAGGGGCCAGGTCTTGTTATGTATCGATAGTCGTGGTCGCCTCCCATACATCAACCGAAATGGTGCTTTCTTCGTCGTTTCTTGCGCGGACGCACGATGTGCTAGCAGAATCAGAGGAAGCTCTGTCTTCCAGTTACCACCCTTTGTGGCCAGCTACTCCTTCAGTGTGCGGTTATTTCTCTGCGTCAGTCTGTTCGTTTGTGGATGATATGGCGTTGTTCTAATTTTCTTGATACCCAACTCTTGTAGCCGACCTTCAAATTCTTCGCTTTCAAAACACGGACCTTGGTCTGTCAATATCGCCGTGATTTGCAACGATATGTCGAACCACTGCTTCTGTCACCGTTTTTGCGCGTTGATCAGGGATCTCGACTGCGTCTAGCCATCGTGTGGCATGTTCTGTCATGACCAGAAGATATTGATTGCCATTGGACATTTGTGGTAAAGATCCCATTACATCTACGGACCAGAGGTCTCCTACTGTTGTCACTGGGATCGACCGCAGTGACGGTCGTACGTACTGATCACCTTTCATCAGCTGACACTGCGTACACGCTGTTACATACTTCTCGACGTCTTCTCTCATACCTGGCCAGTACATGGTTTGTCGCAGGAGATCGTTCGTTAGGGCAACACCTGTGTGAGATAGTTGGTGAAATTCCTGTATCATCTCTTGACGCAGACATTGAGGTATTACTGCTAAGCAGCTTCCGTCATCCTCTTGCCACGTCAACATTCCGCGGGCATTCACGCTCAACCAGTCTCTCTGTTTGAGTAGGAGATTTAGCTCACGGTTCGCTGTGGGTCGATTCACCATTTTTTCGTTAGTTATCACTTGTATGACAGTTTTCAAGGTTTCGTCTGATCTTTGAATCTAGACAAGTCTTATTGGGTCTTGCTCTAAGGCATTTACACCATATGCTATTTCCGTTAAGTCTCCCCTTTTTGTTCTGGATAACATATCAGGTAACATGTTCTGTCCTCCTGGAACATGAGAGATCACGAAATCATACTCTTGCAGGCGCAACATCCACCGTGACAACTTCCCACGTGGGTCTCTGGAGATTCTCAGCCACTGCAACGGCTTATGCTCAGTCTCTACGTGGAACCGTTGACCAAATAAATAGGGTTTCCATTTGTCTAGCGCCCACGCAATCGCCAAACACTCCTTCTCAATTGTCGAATACTTCTGTTCCGTGTGCGTTGACACATGGCTGACGTATTCGACGATTGCGTCACCCTGTCTGAGTACTGCGCCTATTCCATAATCGCTAGCATAGGTAGACACAATGAACGTCTCTCCTGGCACTGGTAGTCGCAGCGTCATTCTCTGGTAATCCATCAGGTGTTTGATGTGGTCAAATACCGTCTGCGAGTCTTCCGGTCAGACAAACTTTGACTTGCCTAATAGCTGGTAGAGCGGAGCTGCTTCTTTGTTGAAGTTTTTCACAAATCGGCTGTAGAACGCTGCTCTCCACAAAAACTGTCTTAATTTCCTTTTTGAATTCGGAGGCTCAATAGACTTGATTGCTAAGATTTTCTCCGGTAGCGGTGTTATCTCGCCATTTCCCACCTTATGACCCAAAAGTGTAACGTTCTTCTTGGCAATCTGAGATTTCTCCTTGTAATTGAGTAGACCGAATTCTTCGATGCGTCTTAAGACCGCTTCTGCATGCTCTTCGTGGTCAGTCTCGCTCGTATTGTGTATCACTAGATCATCTCCATAAACTTCGACGTTCCTCGAATTCTTCAGCAGCGACGTTATTAATCGTTTAAACGTAAACGGAGCACCTGCCAATCCAAAAGGCATGCGTTTAAACCAATACTGGTTTTGTCCCACAAAGAACGCCGTCTGATCTTAATCTCTTCGTTCTATTGGCAGTTGCCAGTATCCCGATCGCAGATCTAAGACTGTGAACAGCTTTGCACTTTTTAAGTGACCCAAAGTTTCTGCTATTGTTGGCATCGCGCACGGTCTCAGTTCTGTTATACTGTTCAATTGTCGGAAATCAACACAAAATCTGTATTTCTCGTTGCTTTCCTTCACCAATAGCACTGGAGAACTATATGGAATATCGGCTTCTTCAATAGTATCATCCATCAACATCTCTTCAACCTGTCTCGCAACCTCGCTTTCTAAGTGACACGAGACTCTTCGAGTAAGGAATGGTCTCTTTTTTCCGCTTGTTACTGGAATTTCGTGTCTCACTTTATCACAGTATCCGTGCAGATCTCCCTCCCCATTGAAAAGATGGTCGTATTTGCTAAGTAACTTTGCTACACTTAGAAGTTCAGACGCCGGAATCCCTGCTACCTCAATATTCTCGTGCACGCTGAAACAACCATACTTTGAAAGGACAACCCGTCTCTTCATATTAGTCACTGCATCCACATCTCGCAGAATTCTGCTCCAAGGACTGTTCATTGCAATTCAGGTACGATAAAGGAATGAGAAGGTCATTGTCGTGCACGACAAATACCTAGATTAACTTCCGCTTCAATCCGCGATTTAGTTCCGAAATATATCTCATAATTTGGACAATAGGTTGTGTTAATTTAATGTGCCATTGGTGCGAGATAATAAAACAAGCTAGAATTTGATGGTATAAGAAACCAACGGTCAGAATTAAAGCAAATGCTACATAGAACGTTGAATGAAGAAACATTTTTCAAATCCCTCCTGTTGATGGTGATTGACGCTGGATGAATATATATATATATATATATGTTAACAATGTTTATGAACCAGTATATTATGGTCTTCGTGCTAGATTTTAGATACAACCATATAATAATAAAAGTGATAATAATTTATTCTCATTTTTGTACATTGGGTACGTCAGTTTTCAGGCATCATCGATTCGATAAATTACACATAGTTAGTAAAGATGATATAATAAGGTACATATTTTTTCCTAGCTATGTGAGATACACCAGTTGCACAGGCATGCATAAGTATTGTTTAAATTACATGATTTGCTGTTGCTGTCATTTTTTCTTTACTTAGTGGGAAAAATCTGATAACTAGTGATTCAATGGACGACATCAAGAGATAAGTCAATTCCCTAATATAACAATAAAATGAATCTTATAATAATATACTGTCTTTTAATGCACATGACAGTTGACAGGCTTCATCAATATGATAAATTACATGTACGATTAGTAAGCATATTTAATAATACTGATTTGATAAAATACATATTTTCCTACCTGTGTAAGACACACAAATATCCACATTCTTCATTCTCACACAAAAGTCAAATGGAAGCTAAAATGGTGAGAGCGAAAAGAAGACGAACAACAGCAACGCAAAAGAAAGCAAGAGGAGTCCTTAAGGAATGATTAATAAATATATACATATATATTCTGTTTGGTAAATATGGTTATTTTGATACACTAACTAGTCCGGTTATGCTAAATTTTGTATTATTTGTGAACTAATATCACTGTCCTCTGTAGAAATATTTATCATGTAATTCCAGTAATACTAAAGTTTATAATTGTAGTTTGTTGTAACTACACGTTTAATGAACTTAAAATATCTATGTGGGGTGAAAAAGAGGGTGTAAGAGTCAAAAGTAGAAATGCATCGTCATCTTTAAGCAGTCTGATGACTGAAGAGATGAACACTGGAAGTGTGTTTGCATCACGCACATTAGCTGGTAGTCTATTCCAAATGACTGAAAACTTATTTAAGAAGAAGTTGTACCGCATGTAAGTCTGAGAATGCTCTATGGCAGCTAGGTTGTGATGATTTCTAAGACTGTAACTGATGACAGTGGTAGGTTTAGTTATTGGCTCGGAGGAGTGCAAGAGAAGATTAATTAGCTTGTAGTAAGAGATATAGTTTAGCTTAAGACGTCTTTTCCAGAGTGGTTCTAATCTTAGTCTGTCGCATCGCTCATAGTATTCCAGACCACTTTCTAAACCAAGAGTTCTTGAGGTAAACTGCCGTTGCACACCCTCTAATTTAAGCTTGTCATTTTGTCTGAGTCCGCTAAGAATAAACGGGCAGTATTCTAAGATAGGTTGGACACATACTTTGTATAATAAAACCCTAGTTTCACAACAAAAGAAATTTCGTGCTATGCATCCTATCAGCCTTCGTGTTTTACGTCTGGCATAATCAGTCTGTTCAGCGAACGTTAGGTTACTAGAGTATCTAATACTGAGATCTACGACTGAGTTGAGCTTAGCTAGTTTTCGCCCATTTATTTCAAAAGTTAGATCAAGGTTACTGTTTCCGATACAAATCCAGCCGCATTTCCCAATGTTAAAGTTTAGACAGGATTCAGCACACCACGTTGCAAGGCTACTTAGTTCAAGATGTATTTTAGTAACCATATCGCTTAATTCATGAGTGTAGCAGGAGTAGATGACTTTGAGGTCGTCAGCATATAGGAATGGTTTACCTGAGGTGAACTATTTGCAAATGCTGTTAATGTAGACTGTGAATAAAAGAGGACATAGGACACTACTTTGCACAAGCCCACTTGAGATCTGCCTAGGATGAGAAAATACAGATCCGACTTTGGTTATTTGTACCCTGTTGCTAAGAAATGATTTTAACCAGTTCAGTAGTGGGTTGCGAATTCCACAAGAGTACAGCTTCTCAAAGAGAATACTGTGAGATACCATGTCAAATGCCCTAGATACATCGAGGTAGAGAACAACGACTAGCTTACGTGCTTCGTGACTACTATTGATGCAGTTGAAAATGTCGAAGTGGCAAGTAACGCAGGATCTACTTTTGAGAAATCCGTGTTGCGACCTTGTAACAAGATCTTCCCTAAGTAGGTAGTCTGACGACTGATCTTTTACAATTTTCTCCATGATTCGTGAGATAACTGAGGTTATATTTATGGGTCTGTAATTGCGGAAGTTTGCCTTATCACCAGATTTGTAATGTGGAATTATGAAGCTAGTTTTCCACTCACTAGGGTAAGTGCCAGTGTCCATAGATATTGAGAAGAATTTAAGAAGTAACAAGGGTATAGCACACCCACTGTTTTTGAAAATTATCGAAGCGAGGCCATCCGGCCCCGTACTAGTGGAAGGTTCAAGGCTTTTAATTGCTTGTACTATTAGTTGATTAGTGAACACAATGCTTTCAAGGGAAGAGCTAGTAATGGGGGCGGTTTCGCCAGGCATATGTGTTTCTAAACTAAAGTTTGCAAACCAATCACTGAAAAATTCACAGTTGGTGGCAGGCTCATTGTAGATTACTTCGCCGCGAAGTAAGTAGGGGATTTCTCTCGTCGACTGCATTCGTTTGTTAAGAAGTCCCGTTAGGTTTTAAACTTTGGAGGTACTTTCAAGTGCCGCTAACTCTTCGTCGAGGTCCTTTTGAGAGCGCAGGCGCTTGATAGATTCAAGAGACTCGTGGATTGAGAGCGATAGTGATATATCCTTAGTGGAATAGTACTGTTTCTTCAACTTCCTTAACTTATTGCAGTGTGCCCTCGGAATATATTCGGCTCGGTGTCTACTTAATTTCACTATTTTCTTTGGAGCAACTGTATCCAGACAAAGGGTAACATTCATGTAAAATATGGTTACTACGGACTCCAGGGAGTTAGTGGTGAAATAGTCATCCAATTGACAGAGTCGAATGAGTTCTTGGACTAATCCTCAGTCTATGTGCTTGCAACTACGACATATTGTGCTTCCTGAATCTTGTTTCTTTCCTGTATTTAGTAGTGAGAAAGGCAGAGAGCAGAGTACCATTCTATGGTCACTACTGGAAAATCTGTTACCAACATAGGTGAATACTGGGATTTTGTCATGACAAAAAACAAGGTCCAACATGTTGTCACCACGAGTAGGTGTCTGGATGTGTTGTTGCCATCCATAACAGTCGTTAGTGGCAAGTAATTCGTCGAAGCGTTGGGGGCCGGAACTAGTTAGCCAATTGACTTCTGGAAGATTGAAGTCCCCTGCAATTATTTTGTAATTAGCACTAAACGAGGAGGCGTGTGCAAACGATTTAGCTAATGATGCATCAGTTTCTTTTGTTGCGCTTGGTGCTCGATAAACACAGCCTATGAGAAGTTTGTACTTATCTCCATGCAAGACAACCCAGAGTGAGTCAGGTACCTTATTCAGTATTTCATCTTGCACATTACTGACTACAAATGAGCTATGTATATATATGAGACATCCCCCACTACGCTTGCAATCTCTATTTGCACGGTGTACAGTGTAATCATCGATACCTATATGCACATCAAGTACAGAGAATGAGCACCATGATTCAGTAATCAGAGCTACAGTAAGCTTGGCGAATAATAATAATGTCCTTAGTTCAGATATCTTATTGATTAAGGAACGTGCATTAATCAGTGATATCTTTTCCATAGTTTGGTTTGTAAGGGTTTGTTATGCTTTTACGAGTTGATCACTGATTGATATCAGTTAGAGAACCATTGAAAACCAGGGAGTACTGGACAGCTGCTGTTTCATCCTAGTTATCGAATCATCGCTAGTACGCACCCACTGGGATTCGAACCCAAGACCTTCCGGTTACAAGGCAAGGTCGTATACCACTCAGCCACTAGGACCCTATTCAATGGCTCATGAATTCTAATTTCTACCAATTCGTGATTTAGCGCGACCCCAACCATTGTCGTTGGTGGGACATCCATCCACACACGTGACATCTAATTGGACCTCACTGGTCACGGCTTCTCACTAGAACTCAGGAAACTCCAACCTGTAGCAAGTCACTGGCGAGCATCAGAATAATTTTCTATAGTTTGTTTTGTAAGGGTTTGTTATGTTTTACGAGTTGATATCGTGAATAAGTCACGGGATACTACAAACTGGCTTAAAATGTCACCATAACCTAAATCTATTTGCCCGTCAGCACCGCAAGAGTTTATGAATGATAGGGGGGTCGGACTGGGTGTCTGTATATCGGTGTTGGAGTGCAATGAGGTGGTTCTAGGTGCCATGGGTCATACCAGTGATTCGGTACACCTGGAAAATATACCATGTGTTACTGGATATAAAGGTAGTAGCGGTTGGGCCTGGGGTCAAAAAGCATAGCATCAAAACGTCTACCCATCCGATTGCTATTCGTCATACAGGTACACACATTCGTGTTGTTTTTATTACCTGAAGGAAATTGTGGGGAAGGTGCTTTGGTTGCAAGATTTTTGGGGTTTTGGAGCCTGACTTTCTATAAGGTGGGGCATGCGGAAAACCTCCAGATATACTTATGATTCGAGAGGAGTTTTTCGTAACAAGCGATGGTTTGTTGACATTCTTACTCTCAGCAGGCTTATTGAATACAAAGTATTCTTCCCCATCATGAGTCTCAACACTGGGAAATTTGTTCATCGTGGTGGGGTTACCATGTTTGGGTGAAAATTTCTTAGAACAACTTGCAGAAGTTCTGACTATTTTAACATCTTTCGATGAGGCTTTATTTACAGGACTAGTGGTATCTAAATCAGTTCCTAGTTCCCTTAATTGGCAAGTGTGGTTGTTGTGAAGTTTGCTGGACGCTACTGTCAGCACTAGGTGACTGCTGCTGTGCACGATCCTTAATTGGCGAATCCAAGCTAGAGGAGGTGACCTGGTTTTTACTACGCATTATTCGGCGCTGACACGGTGCTTTATCCTGAGCTACGGCTATAGACTAATAACTGCTATTCAGTCTTAAGTGATCCTGACATTAAGTAAGCTTACTAGGATCAAGGGAATTACTGAATTTCAAAATGATGGGAGGATTAGCCTGATTAAACCTTTTACGAAGTCTTTTGTATTCACATAGAACACTAGCCATGCCTCAACAAATCAGGGTTTTGTGTCTTACAGTCTTCAGAGGCAGAGAATCTGGGACGTTGTTAACTATAGCTTGGTGAGAAGAGGTTGTACGCTTCATCACCTCCACAACCAAGCAGTCAATCAGATTTTCAGCTTTATTTAGGTGGTCTGGAGACATTTTAGGATGCCTTTTTAACAGACAAGCCATTGGGTCTAAATCCGAAAGCTTATTTTGAGTTACATCCAGTAGAGACTTAACCTGGCCAATATCAGAACGGCTTTCCGTGGTATTTGAGATTGGCGGTGACATACTATCAAACTGATCTAATTTTTTCTGAAGTTCACCTACTTGTTTCTTGATATCTTTCACAAAGAAGTTTATTTACACAACTCAGAGTTCTCAAACAGAACATCTTTCGCCTGTATTACAGGAGTGAGATCTGCACTCAAACCATTTTGAGAGCCAGAAGTTGATAGTGTATTACAGGGTGGTAATACAGTTATAACCGAATTCGGGCCACTATCTAAAACATTTGTTGTCAATGTAGTTGGAGATTTCACGATCAATTCATGGCTGTTTTCTCAAACCCAACTCCATATATTTCGCGAGAGTCATCGACACAGCAGTCATCGTCTCATCGGTCTCTGTTCAGAAGTAAGATCAAAAAACTGTCAGAAGTAATATAGTGATTTAATGTTGTAGTATTTCTTCTTAGACCTTACTCTGTGAAAGCAGTTATATGTTGGCGTTAGAATGAAGAATTCTGGAGTTGCCAAACAGTGATTTGGTTTTGGCGTCGATTAATAGTAAGCGATTCTAAAAAATATTCGAGGAACAGTGTGAGGCACAGCGTTGCCAGAGCTAGAAATTAATGGTTCATGAGATTTGTCTGACAGTTTATGACAGATGGATAGTCTACATCCATTCTTCCTGAAGCCTCCCAGTCTTCTCTCAAAAAGCGTTATCTTAAAATTTTCCGAAGTTTAGAAAAAAAACTTAATTGAATGAGTGTTACGGTCATGACTGGTGCTTTTTTGTCTGGAATTATAAATAGAGGCAAAACAAACAACAGGTGTATCCTCTAAGTTCAAACATCAAATGGGCCTATGATTTCTGAAGCTCTTACATGGGAACTAGCACTGGTATTACTTGCAAACTCACTTAGTGTGTCATTAAGTGCCCTTTCGAAGGAGGCCGATTTGCTTGCTAGTCACATTTCCTGAGGTAGTCTGTTCCATATTTGGGCATACCTAATCAAGAAAAGCTTTCTCCTGGTGGCTGTTTCACATTTCTCTGAAGCCACTGTACATTTAGTGTGTCTGAGGTTATATCCAGTGTCTTCTGAGAACCGAGTATACTTAGCAGGAATATACACATTGTGGTTAAGAAGCTTGTAGAAGAGTACCAGAGGTTTGACTCATTTTTATTTAGTCTAGTACACTGACAGGGTGTACTTAAGAGGTTTGCTGCTCTTAACAAGGAGTGCTGAACCGACTTTATGGGCTCATTGTCAGGTATGTTGTACACTATGGCGTTCTGATTAGAAGCAAGTCTCTTAACAACTTCGCTCGACAAGTAGTCCATAGCGTTTTCTTGCTCCTTAGCATGTTCCACTTCAGCATCGGTTGGTTTAGTCCTGAGCTTGAAGAGTTTTAGGAAAGTGAGATCCTCCAGTACTTTTTTAAGATGGTACCAGGTCAAGTAGATTTAGTTTCGTCCTGAGTTCACTTATTCGTAGCTGCATGTCGTTTATGATGTAGACTAATTTAGTAATCTCTGCCTTTTCTGACAGGATATCTTCCACCTGTATTACAGGGGTTCGCATTATGTTGGAGCCATTTGTATCGGGTGTACCACTAATTGCAGCCAATTTAATGGGTGATAATGTGTTACTCGATAAGCTTAGGCTATTTTCTAAATTACTAGTGTTTCTAAGAACACGCTTTTTAAAGCTTTCGCCAATTATTATCATTGGTGATAATATAGCTGAACCGAAAAATGAATATCAGCGAAAACACATGCAAAAGTTTCACCAGATTCGAACGTACCGCGGCTTATGTAAGACACACCAATTGTATAAGCATGGATAAGGAATATATAAATTACATGATTTATGGTTGAATTACATGGTTGCTGTCTTTTTGTCTATAGGTTGTGGGGGAAATTTGATAACTTGTGATTCAATGGACCACATGGCTTTTTGGCCTTTCTTTTAAAATTGGTGACATTTTTGCACGTGTTTGCTCTGAAATTTATTCACTGCTTATTGCCATATCATTCTTTAAATTATGGTCCAAATCTCTAAACAACGTGTTCTCAGAAACACAGTTGTTTTTGATAGTGGCTCAAATTCGGTTATATCTGCGTTACCGCCGTGAAATACCGTATCAATTACTAGCTCTCAAAATGGTTTGAGTGCAGATCTCACTCCTGTAATACAGGCGAAAGATGTTCTGTTTGAGAACTCTGAGTTGTGTAAATAAACTTCTTTGTGAAAGATATCAAGAAACAAGTAGGTGAACTTCAGAAAAAATTAGATCAGTTTGATAGTATGTCACCGCCAATCTCAAATACCACGGAAAGCCGTTCTGATATTGGCCAGGTTAAGTCTCTACTGGATGTAACTCAAAATAAGCTTTCGGATTTAGACCCAATGGCTTGTCTGTTAAAAAGGCATCCTAAAATGTCTCCAGACCACCTAAATAAAGCTGAAAATCTGATTGACTGCTTGGTTGTGGAGGTGATGAAGCGTACAACCTCTTCTCACCAAGCTATAGTTAACAACGTCCCAGATTCTCTGCCTCTGAAGACTGTAAGACACAAAACCCTGATTTGTTGAGGCATGGCTAGTGTTCTATGTGAATACAAAAGACTTCGTAAAAGGTTTAATCAGGCTAATCCTCCCATCATTTTGAAATTCAGTAATTCCCTTGATCCTAGTAAGCTTACTTAATGTCAGGATCACTTAAGACTGAATAGCAGTTATTAGTCTATAGCCGTAGCTCAGGATAAAGCACCGTGTCAGCGCCGAATAATGCGTAGTAAAAACCAGGTCACCTCCTCTAGCTTGGATTCGCCAATTAAGGATCGTGCACAGCAGCAGTCACCTAGTGCTGACAGTAGCGTCCAGCAAACTTCACAACAACCACACTTGCCAATTAAGGGAACTAGGAACTGATTTAGATACCACTAGTCCTGTAAATAAAGCCTCATCGAAAGATGTTAAAATAGTCAGAACTTCTGCAAGTTGTTCTAAGAAATTTTCACCCAAACGTGGTAACCCCACCACGATGAACAAATTTCCCAGTGTTGAGACTCATGATGGGGAAGAATACTTTGTATTCAATAAGCCTGCTGAGAGTAAGAATGTCAACAAACCATCGCTTGTTACGAAAAACTCCTCTCGAATCATAAGTATATCTGGAGGTTTTCCGCATGCCCCACCTTATAGAAAGTCAGGCTCCAAAACCCCAAAAATCTTGCAACCAAAGCACCTTCCCCACAATTTCCTTCAGGTAATAAAAACAACACGAATGTGTGTACCTGTATGACGAATAGCAATCGGATGGGTAGACGTTTTGATGCTATGCTTTTTGACCCCAGGCCCAACCGCTACTACCTTTATATCCAGTAACACATGGTATATTTTCCAGGTGTACCGAATCACTGGTATGACCCATGGCACCTACAACCACCTCATTGCACTCCAACACCGATATACAGACACCCAGTCCGACCCCCCTATCATTCATAAACTCTTGCGGTGCTGACGGGCAAATAGATTTAGGTTATGGTGACATTTTAAGCCAGTTTGTAGTATCCCGTGACTTATTCACGATATCAACTCGTAAAACATAACAAACCCTTACAAAACAAACTATAGAAAATTATTCTGATGCTCGCCAGTGACTTGCTACAGGTTGGAGTTTCCTGAGTTCTAGTGAGAAGCCGTGACCAGTGAGGTCCAATTAGATGTCACGTGTGTGGATGGATGTCCCACCAACGACAATGGTTGGGGTCGCGCTAAATCACGAATTGGTAGAAATTAGAATTCATGAGCCATTGAATAGGGTCCTAGTGGCTGAGTGGTATACGACCTTGCCTTGTAACCGGAAGGTCTTGGGTTCGAATCCCAGTGGGTGCGTACTAGCGATGATTCGATAACTAGGATGAAACAGCAGCTGTCCAGTACTCCCTGGTTTTCAATGGTTCTCTAACTGATATCAATCAGTGATCAACTCGTAAAAGCATAACAAACCCTTACAAACCAAACTATGGAAAAGATATCACTGATTAATGCACGTTCCTTAATCAATAAGATATCTGAACTAAGGACATTATTATTATTCGCCAAGCTTACTGTAGCTCTGATTACTGAATCATGGTGCTCATTCTCTGTACTTGATGTGCATATAGGTATCGATGATTACACTGTACACCGTGCAAATAGAGATTGCAAGCGTAGTGGGGGATGTCTCATATATATACATAGCTCATTTGTAGTCAGTAATGTGCAAGATGAAATACTGAATAAGGTACCTGACTCACTCTGGGTTGTCTTGCATGGAGATAAGTACAAACTTCTCATAGGCTGTGTTTATCGAGCACCAAGCGCAACAAAAGAAACTGACGCATCATTAGCTAAATCGTTTGCACACGCCTCCTCGTTTAGTGCTAATTACAAAATAATTGCAGGGGACTTCAATCTTCCAGAAGTCAATTGGCTAACTAGTTCCGGCCCCCAACGCTTCGACGAATTACTTGCCACTAACGACTGTTATGGATGGCAACAACACATCCAGACACCTACTCGTGGTGACAACATGTTGGACCTTGTTTTTTGTCATGACAAAATCCCAGTATTCACCTATGTTGGTAACAGATTTTCCAGTAGTGACCATAGAATGGTACTCTGCTCTCTGCCTTTCTCACTACTAAATACAGGAAAGAAACAAGATTCAGGAAGCACAATATGTCGTAGTTACAAGCACATAGACTGAGGATTAGTCCAAGAACTCATTCGACTCTGTCAATTGGATGACTATTTCACCACTAACTCCCTGGAGTCCGTAGTAACCATATGTCAGTCTCGTCTCATAAACCGTTAATGCTCAGCTCTCGCTACGCTCGGGCCCACGCTGTTCTTAGAAGATTTCTCAGAATCGCTTAGTTATAATGGACGCAAAAACCAAAACACCGATCTGCCGTTTGATATTTCTGTATTGTTACACCAACATATAAAAGGAATAAGCGAACTAAGCAAACTAAGGTCTGAAAACATATATTACAATAATAAATCTCTGTATTACTTCTGACGATGTTTCACTCTTCTTTCTGAACAGCGACCGATGATACGATGACTGTCGTATTGATGCCTCCGCGAAAATCGGGGAAGTTGATTTTAAGCAAACAACCAAGAATTGATCGTTCAATCTTCAACTCCATTGACACTCCCCGGCAAAAAGGGATCCAACCCTTTTTTCCTTCACGATCAATGCACGTTGACTTGGATGCCATTGCGAGAACCTGGGTCACACGGACAGAGCTGAAATGGAAAACAAACAGGAAAGCCAACACACCACAAGCATACCCACAGCACAATCTCACACATCGCTGACGACCTGCGCCTCCAGACAGAGACCTCCTCTTGACATCTTGCAACACAATCGCCACTTACTAGAATGACTCTTGCAGAATGCAACGTGACCATAGCAGCACCTCAGGATACTCTTCAAGCATCCTCTTTTTTATTCACTATCAATTATCACTGAAATCACTTGTCACTCATTCTGCCTCAGTTCTAGTAGCGGTGACGCATGCGAGCCTCAGCCGTTTACACTCTTTCTCCCCGGCGTGTGGGACCGCAGCTAACAATTATCTCCGTGTGCATTTCATTCTCAGAAATAGCCTCCCCGGCGTATACGACCCATCTGCTGCCTTTAACATCAATCAATTCATTCATGGATGTAGAAGACTCGAAACAACTTCAGAAATAATCACGACGAAAATTTTAACAAAATTACGCAATAACAACAAGACACGAAAACAACAAGTAAACACAATGAATCCAAAATACACCAATTGATATGACACACCACACGTATATACAAATAGTACAAACAACCTCGCCGATCATCTCTTGGTGGAATTCCTTTGAAGAATTGCAGGACTTACACCAGTACGCCTACAACCCTTCTCAGGTTGACGATTGTAATTTGTGGAATGTAAGGACACAAACAAGATTAACCAACAATTACATCAATTGGATCTCACACAAATATTTAACACAAACATATGTACAATCAACACATCAAATGTTGTGGATTCTGACACGACAAACTACCCTTGAAGAACCGTAGGACTTACAGCAGTACGCCTACATTCCTTCTCAGGTTGATGATCCAAGTGGAAGTCGTCCGGACACAAACAGAATTACTAACAGCTAGATGACAGATATCAATTCAGTATATACAATGTGAACATATGTACAAAATCACACACCAAGCACATTGGACTGCTCATTGATGCGCTACCCTTTGAAGAATTGTAGGACTTACACCAGTACGCCTACAACCCTTCTCAGGTTGACGCTCTAGGTTGGAAAATCGTTGCAGAGTTCATTTGCTGACTTCCTTCCATCAGGTATATCCTCAAATCTGAACGGTAACACGCTCATGCCATTGTATCGTAGAACATAGATGACGAACAAGCACACGACGTATCTGGTCAACCAAGCGTAGGCACAGAGTAATTTACACCAAAGATAATAGCATTCAAATAGTAACTTGAAACTAGAAATGCCTTTATTCGTGCAAGT